ATTAAAGTTTATTCTCAACGTATTACTTTTTTTCTACAGAACTGGCTAGCTTCAGATTTCTGCCAAAGACTGCTGCAATTTCATTGGAATTTAACATTTTAAAGGGTGTTTTAAAAACTATTTTAAAACTATTCTGAAGGTAAAAAAAGCTTAGCACACATACAAATATGTTTATGCCAAGTTAATAAAATGGGATGGCTGAAATATTTGGGTGCCCAGGGATTTAACAGGGAGAGTAAAATGTCCCAGCAGAAGCTACTATAAAAAATGGTAGTCTCTATAGGTTTGGTAACATCCTGGGTTAAAAAAAATGTACTACTGAATAATAAATGACAGATTTTGAGGAACAGAGAATTGGGGCAGGGAGGGGGTGGTGGTCCATGGAATTTGGGGGAAAAAGGCCAGAATGCTGCCAAGTCAACAAATTTCAGTAATCTTAGGATTGTCATAAAAGAATCTGTCTGGGGAAGAGATCTGACCTCACGGATAGGAGGATTGAGAAGATGGGGCTCTCGTTGGAGTGTTCACATTCCTTATTCTCATTTGAGTCCTCACAACCATAACTCTCTGAGGAGGCGGAAGTTAGCATAATTCCCAGCTGACAGATGAAAAAACTGACATCATAGAATTCAAGTAAATTCTGAGGCCAAAAAAACAATATTAGTGTATAAAAATATTTATATTACACAACTCTAAGGGAGTGCTCCAAATTGAGCAATGAAAATCTGCTACTGACCGTTATTATTTCCTCCCATTGATTAAAGGATGAGGAAATTCAGAAACCAGACTTTACTTGGCAAGCTGATGGGGGTGAATCAAATATGATTTGCAAATACAGTACTAGCAGTGCTGTTTCCATGTTTCCTGGTGTTTTGGCCATGCTGAGGTAGATGATCTCAGCACACTCCATTTCCTGAAAAGTGGCCACATATTTAAAAGAAATATGACAGGCATATTATAGAAATCTCACAATAAATGAAATAATAGCTTCTCATTATCAAAGTAAGAACATTTATTAATTACAGGCTTAAGATAACTTGGTGCGATAAAATTATATAATTTCAACTCAACATTTTGGTAAAAACTGTGTGTAATGTGACACAAAAAAGTAACACATCTCTTAAAATTTGGGGAAAATGTAAAGCCAAAGCTTAATATATAGGAGGAATAAAAAAATGGCCCCCAATACCTAAAAATGATTTTGCTTATAATCCTTCCTTTACTGCTTATTATTGCATGGTAGCTCTGGAGTTTCTAGAGATAGCGGTTTCTTGATCGACGCTCACAAGTGCAATTCCGAGGAGCTTAGGATGAAACACATTGCTATGTCATATTTTTAATGAACGCAGGTATTATGCATTTGTTTCAACGCGTGCCTGTCAACCTAGATGCCATTCCAACGGTACCTCCTCACATCCTCTAAGGGATAGGACTTGTGAAGGAGCTGTCACTTTTGGAGCAGACCTGGAAGTAATTCTTTATTTATCGCCAAGAAGTATCTTCTGCTGATTTTATTTTTTAAACATCTAAAAGTTACCATGTACTATTAGCTAAAAGAAAATAACGGAAAGAATAAAGTATAAACAGCTGAGGAATAGTAGATAAAAATGAACCTCATACCTAAACATCTGCGATATATACTTGATAGAAAGTTAAATATTTAAACAAGTATAACCAAAAAAGCGATACATAGACTTAAATACTCAGACATAAAATCAAACCTTTTCACCTTAAATACAATTTCTCTGACTTTTTAAAAAAAAACATGATTTTTTTTAATTTATGAATAATTTTTGATTAACAAAAGTTGCAAAGATGTACAAGAATTTTGTCATACTCTCACCCATCTCCCTAATAGTTACATGTCTCATTACTGTGGAACAATTATCTCAAATCTAAGAAACTAACATAGGGTAGGCATTATTTAACTAAACTCAGACTTTGTTCATATTTCACAAATTTTCCAGGTAAAGCCCTTTTCTGTTCCGACATCTTCCTCCAGAATAAACATTATAGTATACAGCTAGATATTTATGATTTTGCATTTAGTCATCATATTGCCTTGATCCTCTCTATCTGTGGACAGTTTATCAAGTCTCTTCCTTGTTTGTCAATGACAGGTGACACATTTGGCGAATACTGGTCAGATAGAATGCCTCAGTTGTCTAATGTATTCTCGTGATAGAAGGATGTTATGGTTTTTGGGAGTGGAAGAGTAACACAGAGAATGAAGTACCCTTTTCATCACACACATCATCAGGATACACCAATATTCACATGACATCACTTGGTGGACATTTTCATTTCGTATAAGATGCGTGTTTAGCGGATTTATCTGCCTGTTAATTATTATTTTCTGTTGCCACACTCTGTCTTTGGAAGGGAATCACTCAGTGTAGCTCACTCTCAAAAAGGCTTTCACCTCCTAGGGAAAAAAAGGGAAAAAGACTATTATGATATGTTATGATTCTTCTATCCTATTTATTTATTCAATCATATATTGTATATCAGTACAGTAGTCCCTACATTACCTGCCAGGATAACATTTCAAGAACCCCAGTGATGCTTGAAAACCAAAACGATAGTACCACAAACCCTATATATACTGTACCATGTTTTTTTGATCTGTTAACTGAGATTGGCTACCTTTAGTAACTAAGGGGCAGGGCTAGCATGTCCAGCATGTGGAATATGCGGACAAGGGGAGGATCACATCCCAGGCATTGACAAAGCAGAACAGCATGAGATTCCATCACACCACTCAGAATAGCGTGCAGTTTAAAACTTATGAATTGTTATTTCTGGAATTTCTCCAGTTTAATATTTTGGGACCATAGGTGACCATGGGTAACTAAAATCTGGAAAGTGAAACTGGTGTATAAGGAGGGGACTACAGATAAATAATATGTTCATAATATATTTATTTTATACTTGGGTTATATTCCTATATTAGGGTTGTTCAGATTGTTCCAGCTTTGGCCAATTGAGAACTCTTCCCAGATTGATCTGGCCTATCTGTATCTCTTTTTAATAGTATTTATGAGATAATAATTCATATACTGGTACAAATATCACCCACTTAAAGTGTAAATTCAATACTTAAGTATATCCACATATTTGCACAACTAATCACCACAACCCATTACTATTAGACATCATCCCCAACACCCCATCCCGGCAACGCTGAACTACTTTCATATAAATGGAATTATGCAGTATGTCATCCTTTGTGACTGGCTTCTTTCATTTAGGCCAAAATATTTTCAAGATTCCTCTGTCTGGGTCTATTTTTATCTTATTTTTTAAATTTATTTTAATAAAGACAGGGTATTGTTCTGTTGGCCCAAGCTGGAGTACAGCTAGCATACGTCATAGCTCACTGCAGCTCAAACCCCTGCGGGCTAAAGGAATTCTCAAACAGGCGATCACTTGAGTTGACAACGTCCTAAGTAGCGTAGGAGTACAGTGTGTACTACCACACCCAGCTATTTTTTTTAATTTTTTATAGGAGATGGGGGGTCTTTATATGTTGACCAGAATGCCTTTTTGAACTCCTTGCCTACAACGCATTCTCCACCTTGGCTTCCCAAAGTACTGACATTATAGGCCATGAACACTGAATCTGGCCAAATTTTTGGGATCAACAAAAGGGGAATCAGTATACAGGTGTGAGTACTGTGCCTTGGCCCCTTTACTTATTATAGGTATTCATTTACATAGTTTAATCCAAAATAATGTAGAATTTGGTGTTCTGATTTCTGACTTATCATTATTTATATACATTCATTCATTCACATAGTACATATTCATCTTAATGTAAAGACATCAAGTTGTGTGTCCACTATAAAACATTGACAATCTTAGTTTGAGTATCTGGGTTCCATGTTTCCACTATTAAATGTTACTATAAACATTTTTATGCATATATATTTAATATTTTACCTTAGGATAAATTCCAAACCAGGAATGCTTGAGACCTAAAGAGTAGAATCATTTTCCATGATTTTTTTCTAATTTACCAGGTCACAATGCAGAAATAGTAACAATTTAAAAGACCACTAAAATGTAGATAAATATGAATGTTTCACCTATAGTCTATCAGTATTTTTTCCTAATTTAATGTGTGAAAGAGAGGAAATGAAAGAGTCATATATTACATGTTTAATACAAAATTATATCATTTTCCTCATTTAATTTGCCACCACTGAGTAAGCTAGCCATTACTCTCAGTTACATGTGAGTGCTGGGTGCCAGAGGCCACAGGGGTTATATGCCAGAGGCAGATACCAAAGGTCAAGTCTGGATATGCCCAAAGCCAGAGCTAGGGAGAGAAATCACCCCTAACCAGGTTATTAAGAACAGAAACAGAAAAGAATGGAGCCCAACGAACTGGATCAAATGAAAGGGGACAAAAACCCAGAAAAACCTGAGCTAATTGGATTAATTATGAGAGTCTTTTTCAATGAATTCCAAAACACATCTTTTTGGTTCTTTATAGATCCAGACACAACCTTTTGTGAGTGGAAACAGATGCATTCTAAAGATGCCAGAAGAGAATGGACGACTAGTGCTAGCCTGCTTGGACATTTTTAGAGTTCATCAAATCACATATATTTACAATAATAATACAAATTGCTACACATTGACATAACAATTTACATATAAAATATATAAGAAGGCCTAGAAGATTGCACTAGA